AAAAAAAAAAAAAAAAAAAAAAAAAAAAAAAAACAGAGTTAAACCACTGTATATGAAAGAAAAAATACTCATGTAAGTTTCCTTGGATATTTTGTTCAGCATGATTGGATACATATAAGCTATATGTAATGTAGAAGAATGTGTAAGAGTTTATTTTCCTCCAAGGGAGCATTCTTAATGCTTGTAGTGTTTGTCTTGATGTCAGCTGTGGAATAGCACAAGAAGATGTTCATGGCATCAGTTGGAATGTGAATAAATTGCTTCATTATGATCTCCTTAACATTAAATTTTGATTGATATTTTTATTATGGTAATCTAACAGTCTTACATTGTTTATTTTCTATCTTGTTGGGGTCACATATATGGGCCATGGTATAAATCTGGCTCATGTATTGGGGAACATCTGATATAGCTTTGGAAATCTTGAAGCAAGTCATTTTGGAGTGCATTTGTCATCTATTACATTTTGGAATCAAAAAGTGACTGGTGACTGGGTTAAATTTAAAACTGAAAGATTTCTTTAATTCACTCTACCTTTATTTTCTGATTGCTTGTCAGTCTATTGGATTGGTGACTTGTCTCATCCACCTTCTCTTGACCTACAATTCTATCACAGTGTCCATAGCTCACACCACTCATGTCAGGGGAACTCTAATCACTTACATCTAAGGTCAGATTTGGTCTTCCCCCCCCAAAATGGTGTCAGCCTTGAGGACTGCTCAGCATTCCCACAGACTGTCAAACACCAGTTACAGAGAGTACTGTAATAGTACATATGTAAATACAAGTGTAACACAAAGATTACATATAGTACTAATAAGAATACATATGTAATACCAAACCTGAGAAATGCTCAGCAACCCCACAGAGTGTCAAACACATGTTACAGAAATTTTTGTAACAGTAAAGAGGTGGAAATAGCAATGTAACATAAGATTACATATAGTACTAATGAAAGTACATATGTAATCATAAGAGTAAAACAACATTAGACATATGTACACATATGTAATGATTAATAATCATAGCACAGGCTCAGTATCCAGAGCCATAAGTATGTACTTACAACAGGAATGGATACATAACACTGTAATAAGTACTCAACCACAAGTTGACCATGGTTGTCCCAGTAAC